AGAGAGAAGAGGGGAGGGGGGGGAAGAGAGAAGAGGGAAGAGAGAATTATTATTGCAACCTATAACTACAAGTCCCATGAGGCAGGATGGCTATCCACAGGCATGATTCCCAGAGGTAGAAGCATGATGGGTTTTGTAGTGGGGTTGCCTACCCCTGGTCTACAATAACGACTATGTGGGAGGAGCTGCGTCAGCACAGACAGTAATTAGGCACTCCCAGAAGAGGAGAGAGCTATGACGCGGATAAAGTTGAATGGTGCTCAGAGAGTGGGAATGGGTTGTTTGGGCCCAAAAGGTTTCCTCAGCCTGAGATGCATGGACAAAATACAGAGGAGGAGAAAGAGGGACTGACTGGGAGGAGTCAAAGAAAAGGTGGGATAGTTCCAGGCCACTTCATTCTCTCAGACATGGGGGGCACTTAGGGTGGTCGAGCTCATCATAGAACCATCAGCGAGTGGTCAGTCATTAGTGGCAACATGTTGAATTCAATGAGCACGGCATCCCACGCTTTGCATTGCACTCGGTGATGTGCGGCTTGGATGCAGCTGCTCGGCCATGGAAACCCATTCCATGAAGCTCTCTACGCACAGTTGTTGTGCCAATCTGAAGGCCACACGAAGTTTGGAGGTCTGTAGCTATTGACTCTGCAGACAGTTGGCGACTTCTGTGCGCTTCAGCATGCGCTGACCCCGCTCTGTCATGTGACGTGGCCTACCACTTCGTGGCTGAGTTGCTGTTGTTCCCAGTTGCTTCCACTTTGTTATAATCCCAGTAACAGGCGACCGCGGAATATTTAGCAGCCAGGAAATGTCACGGAACATCTGAATCCAATGATTTGGAGGGGGAGGGGCCCAATACTTTTGGCAATATAGTGTATATTTAAATGTATGGATGGAATCATTGGCAGTCGCTGGCCCATTTCTCATTCACTACAAACCAGGACATGTTTCACTTGACTTGCTGGATCGGAGGATGGCCCACGCTTTGGCAAGAACACAGTCCAGAACTGTGCAAGGCACCGGGATTGATATTAGGGGTAGGCAACCTTGGCACTGCAGCTGTAATGAAATGTCAAATCCCATCATGCCTGTAACTCTTCTGGGAGTGTCTGATTACTGTCTGGGCTGACCCAGCTCCTCCTACATAACCTTTTACTGTAGGCAACCTCGGCACAAATCCCATCATGCTTTTGCCTCTGGGATCCACGCCTGTGGATGGCCACATTGCAATGCCTCATGGGATTTGTAGTTTCACCACAGCTGGAATGGCGCGGTTGCCTACCTCTTAGTTATATGATTGTGTCCTCTCTGAGCCGGCATCTTACTCCAGGAAGTAGATGTGGAAAAACCTGGGTGATGCCTAAAAAGAAATATATATTTATTCATTTCAGTTCCGCCCCCTTTATGGGCCAGAGCAATCTTAACATTTCTTCTACAGGCCTATTGATCCAGAAAAAAAAACTTAAAGGAGAACTATGAGATGAGTGATTTCCACTCACCTCATAGTTCTAGCCGACCTGTGACAATGAGACTGTCACAGGTCGGCTCAGTAGATCGGGAGGTGAGCGAACACATACCGGGTTCGCTCACCTCTCGATCCTGTCACGGCTCTCTGCCGTGACAGGGGGAGGGGCTGGATTCCCCGCTCCTCCAGCGCTGACTGGCGGAACGCACGGGGGAGGGGGCGGGTACAGCTGGCTCTGCCTCTAGATAGGCAGAGCCAGCTGTCACTCACGCAGCTGGGCGGATCCAGACATAATTGTCAGGATCTGCTTCAGCTGCGGCGTCTCAGTATACCGCGAGCTGTAGCTCCCTATATACTGAGCCTTGGGTGACGGGAGGACGCTAGTTTGTGGGGGAAACTATGGGGAAAAGCCTTAACCCCAATGTTCTCCTTTAAAAAAAATAAAAAATCAGGGCTTCATGTTTCTGTACTCATCTGCGCCATCTACAGTCACAAGTGCCCTCTGAATGACATCCGCCCGACCTGCGGCTTTTATAAATGAAGCCCTGAGTGTTACTGTAAATAAAAAGTATACATTTTATTTCAGGATGCACCGATACCGAATATTTGGGCGCGTACTCGTACAAATGCTTCGATACTTTTCCCGATACCGGAACTCCCGGTCAGAGGAAAATTTCCTCTGACCAGCAATGCCGTAGGGGAACATGGAGCTGGCTTTCTGGGCAATCAGGAAGCCGGGTGGTGAGTAATGACCCGCCTCCCAGCTTCCTGGCAAATCAGCATTGAGCCGGACGAACAGCCGGCTTCTTGCTCATTGGCTGGGAGGCAGGTCATTACTCACCATCCAGTTTCCTCATTGGCCGTGATAGCCGGCTCGATGCTGATTGGCTGGGAAGCCAGTTTCCCGGCAAAACAACATGGAGCTGCCTTCCCGGGCAAGCAGGAAGCCTGGCAGCATATCATTACACGCTGCCCGGCTTCCTGATTGCCCTGGAAGCCAGATCGATGCCAACAGAATCAGCGGTATTGCTACTCGGTATCGGAGAGTTCCAAACGCAAAATATTGCTACTCGTACAACATACCAAAAAAAAAGGCGGTGCATCCCTACTTTTATTCTATAATTTGTCTCATTTAAAATGACACTAAAATTGTAATTCTGGTACAAAGCATTGAAACATTTACAAATAAAATAATGGCTTTTTTAACCCGACACTAAAAAAACAAAAATGAACAAAAGAAAAAATATAGCTAAGGGGAAGGAGTTTATTAGGGTGGATTATGGCACACTAAGTTCATAATAACTTAAAGGAGAACTATGGGCTCAGCGTTTTTCCCCATAGTTCTCCTAAGGGTCACGGGAGGACACAAACTAGCGTCCTCCCGTCACCCAAAGCTCAGTATATCGCGAGCTACTGCTCGTGGTATACTAAGGAAGCCGGGACGGATCCCGACATTACTGTCGAGATCCGCCCAGCTGCGTGATTGACAGCTGGCTCTGCCCATCTAGAGGCAGAGCCAGCTGTTCCCGCCCCCTCCCCCGTCCGTTCCGCCACTCAGCGCTGGAGGATCGGACAGGGGAGGGGGGGAATCCCTGCAGGGAGCTGTGAGTGACAGTAACGGCTCTCTGCAGGGACAGGATCGAGAAGAGAGATCGACGGTATGTGTTCCCTCACTTCCCGATCTATTGAGCCGACCTGTGACAGTTTCATTGTCACAGGTCAGCTCGAACTATGAGGATGAGTGAAAATCACTCGCCTCATAGTTCTCCTTTAATATTAATGAGGGGTAACTGGGAACACATTTTACTATAAATTATATATATATATATATATACATACATACACACACACATTTTTTTTCATTTTCAAATTTTAATATATATGTTTTTTCCATTAATTAATGAATTCATTTTTTTACACCTCCTATTGCTTCAACTGACACGTCTGGAGACTATGGGAAGCTCATCCCTTTGATCTGCAGATAATTGAAACACAGTAGATACAAAAAGGAACAATGTAACCCGCTGTCCACAACCGGCTCAATTAAATGTACTGCCGCTTTCATGCTGCGTTATATCTTTCTTAAGCTCCGGGTCTTCTTGACCTCGCAGTCTGTGATACAGCAGGCCGCAGTCCAAGCCTAACTTCTGCCCTCGGAAGCGGCACTCCTCCCCCCGGGTGGCCGCAAAGAAACGATTCCCTTTAAGTGTTCTGTCGTCATTGCCAACACCGAGCCTGCTGAGGATTGTCTGAGCCAGGCCGGGAACTGCCGGCTGCAGGAGGGTGCCGTAAAGCCTCAAGGCTTCGAGGGTAAGGTAAAGAACGCATTGTCCCCAAGCCTTGTCTTCTTCTGACCCCTTAGACAGCTTCCACGGAGCTTGTCTTTGGAGGAAAGTATTGGAGGAGCGCACGCCGCCATCGATCGCCTCCAAGGCTTTGTGCACTTGGAACGTGTCCATGTACTGGTCTACCTGCTGCGGAAGCCCTTGTAGAGCTCCGAGAAGGTCCTCCAACTGACCTCTGGAAGTCAACGGCACATTGGTGGTCCGGAAACACGGCCAGCACTGCTCAGGATTTATATTGAGAGCCGTGGAGCGGTTCAAGAGTCCGCCGAGAGCGTCGGCAAGATCGGATTTTAACAGCATGCGGACGGCGTCGTGGTTAAAGTCGCAGTCTCGCTCGGGGGAACCATTGCGGAGCAGGAAATATCGGAAGCCATCTCTGCCGTAAAGCTTGATGCATTCCGCGGGGTCAATCACGTTGAGGAGGCTCTTGGACATCTTGACACCTTGACACGTCCAGTGAGAGTGGACAAAGAGTTTGGCGGGAGGGGGCAGGCCGGCTGCTAGCAAGAACGCCGGCCAGTACACGGCATGGAAGCGCAAAATGTCCTTTCCGAGCAAGTGCGTTGACGGGCCCCATGGGGAGCCGGCGGGATCCGGGTAGTTGGCCACCGTGAGGTAATTGATGAGCGCGTCCAGCCACACGTAAATGGTATGAGTTGGGTCGGAGGGCACGGGGATGCCCCAAGATACGCGACTGCTGTGCCGGGACACGGAGAGGTCCGGCAGTTCTTCTTCCAGCCACTTGCGCACTATGCGGAGAAACGGGGCAGGGTGAATGGGGTCCGTCTGAAGCCACTTGAGGAGTTCGGGGCGTAGAGAAGACAGACGGAACATGTAATTCTCTTCACTCATCCAGTGTACCTAGAACAAATGTAAGACATTGTGACCAATCTAAGTGTATGAAAACATAATCCGTACATCTCAATACATCACCTCGACATCCCAGCTGTGGTGAAACTACCAATCCTGTCATGCCTGTGGCTTGTCACTCATTCAGTGCATCGTGGGACTTCTAGGTCCACAACAACTGGAGTGGCAAGATTGCCTACCCCTGCAATACATGTACAGTTGCCCATGTTTTATCCCTTGCTGCAAATACAGAAAAGTGTCTGATGATCCTGCAAGAAGTCCAGCAAGCTTCGAGGGTAAGGTAAAGAACTCATTGTGCACAACCCTTGTGTTCTTCTGACCCCTTGGACAGTTTCCACGGAGCTTCACTTTGGAAGAAAGCAATGGAGGAGCGCACACCACCATCGTTCACCTCCAACGCTTTGTGCACTTGGAACGTGTCCATGTGCTGGTCTACCTGCTGCGAAAGCCCTTGTGGAGCTCCAAGAAGGGCCTCCAACTGACCCCTGGCAGACAACAGCACATTGTTTGAGCTGACAACATGGTGCCTCTGCTGCACTGAAATTGCAAGCAGTGTGGTCAGCCCTGCCTGAGCACTCACCCCCCTCCTCTATAGGACTACAGGAAACCCCATCTCCTCATGCCTAAAGCTTAGGAGATGTTCTGAAGTCCAGCAGTGATCAAGACAGGTCAGGTACTGATGTTGGATGAGAAGACCTGGCTCATAATTGGTGTTCCAATTCATCCCAAAGGTATTCCGTAGCATTGAGGTCAGGACTCTGTGCAGGCCACTTGAGTTCCTGCAAACCATGTCTTTATGGAGCTGGCTTTGTGCCCCTGAACTCAATAATTCCTATGGAACACCCATGTCCCATAAGATGTTGCTGTGTCCCATAGGGTTGCAGTCAGGTTTGGGAGAACTTGAGTGGCCTTCACAGATTGGTCACACCATGTCTTTTTAGAGCTGGCTTTATACACAGGGGACAATCATGTTGGAACAGAAAAGGGCCTTCACCAAACTGTTACCACAAGGTTGGATTAGAGCACAATTGTCTACAATGTCATTGTATGGTGTAGTATTAACAGAACCTTCACTGGAGACATCGGAACTCAACCATTGGGAAGGGTTCCAACTCATCCCAAAGGTGTTCAGTAGGGTTGAGGTCAGGGCTCTGTGCAGGACACTCTACTTCCTCTAAACCAAACTGGTCAAACCATATTTTTATGGAGCTGGCTTTAAACTCACGGGACAGTCATGGTGGAACAGAAAATGACCTTCACCTAACTTTGACCACAAGGCTGGAAGAACACAATTGTCTACAATGTGTTTGCATGATGTAGTATTAACAGAACCTTCACTGGAGACACCTGAACTCCATAATGTGGAGGGGTTCCAATTCATTCCAAAGGTGTTCAAGTAGGGTTGAGGTCAGGGCTCTGTGGAGGACATTGAAGTTCCTCCACCCCAAGACGGCCAAACCAAGTCTTTATGGACTGAACTCAATCATTTGAGAGGGCACTCCACATACTTTAGACCAGTGCTTCTTAAAGTGTGGGTCGCGACCCCCTATGGGGTCCCGTAAGTGAACAGGGGGGTCGCGATCCGAGTCCCCGGCCAAGACCGCCATCAGGGGGGTATGGTCGTTACTTGTGTGAGGGGCCCAGGCAGCCGAGGAGGTCTGGGCTCCAAACTAGATTCTTTTATTTCAGTTTAATGTATAATTTGCTGTGTAGTGTAGTTTTTAAGGTCATGGCCCCCCCCCTGTGCACTTGGTACCTTCCTGACTGAGAACTAGGGGAGGGGGGAGAAACCGACCGACGTTGGGGTCCCTTACAAATTTCCTCGGCCAAAAAGGGGTCACGAGTGGAGAAAGTTTAAGAAGGACTGCTTTAGACCATATCCTCTGATCAGGGGACCACAAACCTCTGGCAATATAGCGTAGTCCTTCTGCATTCAATTTCCTCACCTGGTGTCCACTTTCTACGGAGACACGTATTTTGTTGCCATCGGGGTCCTTGCTCTCTGTTGTTTGCTCCTCGCTCAAAAAAGCCTCATCAGACGTACAGTACCAGCCCTGGTACGTCCCCTTGTAAATGTATCCTTGTTCCTCCAGCCTCTTCCAGAAGTGACACACCGCCCGGGAGTGACGAGGCTCCGTTGTACGGACGAAATCCGTGTAGGATATTCCCATCGCGTCGAACATTGTGCGGAACTGCTGGGAAACCCTTGAACAGAGCTCGGTTGGGGTGGAACCCAATGCAGCTGCTGCTTGCTGCACCTTGATGCCATGTTCATCGGTACCTGCCAAAAAACACACATTGTATGTGTTTATATAGTAACTATTTATATGGATCTCCGGATCATTTTGGAAGGGTTGGAACTTCTGTCAGGGTTTAACTGTTGGCTGAACCCCTTTGGGGGAGACTCCCCCTCACTTCCTGTCCCCTTTAAAGTGACCTTCTAGTAGAGGTTAATACTTCCCTCTCCAAAGGCCGGTATCTACAACCTTCCCTCCATGCCAGCTTTGGGACCTTGGTCAGACTCTTCAACATAAGATACATTCGGGCCTGTTTGATACTTGTGTGCCCCTGTGGCTCTGACCCCTATGTCACTACAGGAACCAACACGGGTCAGAGAATGAAACTACGGCACGGAGGGGGACACAGGTTTTCAACACTGCCAGAAGCGGCCAATGCCGAAGAGTCTTACCGAGGTTGCAGAGCTGGAATGGAAGGGAGGTCGTAGATACAGGCTGCCGGAGAGATAATTATACTTCTTCTATGGCAGGGAACGGCTTTGAGGTATTTTTTTGGGGTGACAACATTGCCACTATGTGGACTTTTATTTACTGGGATGTTTAGACAAACAAATTGAAATTTTTGGATATTTAAACTTTAAATATTACATTGACAGGTCCATAGAAGAGGGACAACTGGGAAGGAAAGAGGGACACTGGGATCTTGTTGGGGGGGGGGATCTTGTGATCTGGTTGAAGGACAGCAAGGAACTGGAAGGGGAATAGAGGGTACTGGTAAGGGGATGGAGGGAACTGGCGTAAATTTATAGTAACCACCTGTATAAGAAGAGGGAAAACTGAGGCGTAAGGAGGAAGAGTGGGATATGGTAGGACAATATGGAACTGGCTGGATGGAAACATCTGGGATCTGCTTGGAGGACAGTGGTTGTCAGGCTGGATCAGCAGGATCCAATAGGAAGTTAACGGAAGGGGGTC